TCGTGATAGGACCTTACTCAAAGAATTACATTTTGTCCCATTTCAGAAAGCTCCAGGAGCAAGGTTTAAAGCACATCGAGTTCACTATGATACAAAGCTAGCAGGTTAAAAGTTAATGGCTTATTTTTGTGTTACATTTCCATAAAATGAGGCTGAAGCTATCTATTCCCTTGATAAAAAGGGGCATATTTGCAAATGATGGAAAAATGACCACACCAACAGGTTAATGGGAACAGTCAGCTATCAGCATAACTCGACGTGATGTCTGTAGACACCACAGCACTGAGAACAGCAGCTGTTACTGAGGCAAACAGCTGAAATAAAAGAGGAAGAAAGGCGGCTTGCAAATAACTGCCTTTGCTAGTCCAAATGGCTCTTAATACTCTTTGTGTAAAAATACACTGTTGTTAACATCTGCTTGAAGTTAATCTGAAGAGTTGTTTGCAAATAGCAAAACTGGTAAGCACCTGCTGCTTTAGGATAGATGAACTTTTGCGGGCATATAACATGCTATTTTATTTCCAGCAGCTCTCACAAACATCATCCTATACAGACCAGAAATGAATGGACTTTGTGAAGGGCACTTTAGTTGAAATTGGATAGGACTATACGCAAGTATTGCCAGATACCAGAATAGTTTAAGAGTCTGGTTCAGAAATATGCTAGAGCCTGAGGGTCTAAGTGGTCTTAGAAGGGTGACTAAGGAAAGCAAACCAATTGCCAATGACTTAGGTTGGTAATTTGGAGGTCTATGTATTAACAGAGGTCAAAACTAATCGAGAAAGAAAATTCCTGGAACCACTTCCCTAGGCTGATTTTAAAACTGCCCTTTGCGTCAGCATGTTTGAGTGCAGCACGGGGCCCATCTTCCTGGCATGCAGGGAATGCAAGAAGTGCAGCGTGTTTTCTGCATTTCCAGTTCACTTTTGTGCTTTCTGTCCCCTTGTTCGTTTCCCTGAGCCACTCTTCCCACAAAGAATTTCATCTCACTTGAATGTTTGTTTGATTTCAGTCCGGTAAATCAAAACGGCAAAGAAAAGAAGACAAAAGCCAAAGTGAGACTGAACCCCTCTTTACAGCAAGTCTCTGTACGCCTCCTCATTAGTGAGACTTGTCTGCCTTTTCCATGCTGTTCTATTTCAATGGGGGATTGTCCTACTGGATGCATCCATGCCGTAAGACGGCAGATCTACAGTGGAGCAGTTAGTCCCTCCCTGTACTTTAGCGACCTTTTTTCCTTTGATTTGTCCTTCAGTTTTGCCTGGCCCAATTTATGATTGAAATTGTTTGCAGTTTCCAGAATGGCCATAGATGTTCAGACATAATTGAAAATATCATGATACAATACCTGTTAGCTTGTGTAGCTGTAACTCAGGTCATAAACTGGACACGAATTTGTCATGCAGGAGAAAAGTTAACAACAAAGGTTCAGTCCATCTCTTATTTCTGTGACTGCACAAAATTAAGAGGAAAAGTGGGAAGGGTGACTGAACCCCAGGTGTCTTCTGAGACCTTGTGACAGCTCCTGTGTTCTTAATTAGATCTAACTTATAATCTTTTGAGCTCAGTGGAGATAGCCACTGACTTTGGTGGAGGGACCAGGCTTGTAAAGAAAAGAGGAGGCAGATGGACAGCATCACTGCAAGGGATAAATTTTTTTTCCTACTCTTGAAACCCAGTCAAAGGACTAGAATGTCTTCACTCCTGAGGTCAAGGATTGAGATTTTTGACTAGACTTGTCTTTTCAGCAGTACTGCTCTAGAAGGAAAAGATGCTCCTAGTTTCCCAGATCCTTTCCTAACTCTGCTCTTTCTTGAAAAGTAAATAAGACATTCTCCCGTCATACAAAAGCATGTCGAAACTTGATTGATGTATTTAAAATCCTTCCTTTTTGTCTGCACTTTCCCAAGGTAGTTCTTTAAGAGTTCTGGGAGAGAGAGCATCCACTTCCACAGATAAATCCCTCTGAGTTTTGCTTCCACTTCGGTTACATAGACATTCCCACACTTCTATTGCCATTTGGGAAACTGCCTTTGATGCACTCCTCAGCAGTGTCACTTGAGCCTGGAGTCTCCTGCATGATCTGTGATGGCCTTCAGTTTGCCCCTTTAAGCAAAGAGACTGGCAGAGTGACCCACCACTCTGTGTTGTATGTAGAGTACCCAGATAACGTCTTTATCTTTTTTTCTCTAATGCATCTTTGCAGCCTTTGCCGAATGTAATTGGTGTCAATTCCAAATGAACATGTGAGTCTTTCTTACACACACAAGTTTCTGGAAAATCACAGCACTATATTTATGCAGGTGGAAGCAATAAGGTATGTTTGGGAAATCAGATGTTAATCTGGAATTTGGGAAATCAGACTTTTATCTCAGACTATAAGGTATTAACCAGTACCACTACTACTATTAATCTCCTCCCATAAAGCATACATAATTCATAACTGCATGCTCACACTGCAGTGTGAACGGTGAGTGCCATTTCTGGGTATCTGAGTATTTTAAAAAGCCCTGCAAATGCGATGTTCATAATTCTGGATAACCAGGACATAGTGGATTCAGTTGCTATGGTTGCAGGCAACAGATAGGGAAGATCTCTATTGCACCTCAGGCAGCAACAACTGATTGTGCCACTAAATCCACTTACATTCATTTTTTTATTATAATAATTCACAGTTGTGCTGGCTCTGGTGCAGGTAGCGTTACTGGCATGAGTAGAGGCAGGAAGACAGGCACTGTAAATTGAGGGCCCGGTGAAGAAGTTGTCCCCAGCCTAAAACAATAACCTATAACTACTAAGTATGTAAACAGCAACGCTCTGAGTTAAATGTATCCATGCAACAATGAAATGTCTCTAAAAGCAGGCCACATCAGTTTCAGTATATCTTGACAATAAATGATAATCAATTCCAAAAGGGGATTCTTCTCATTTGTTTACATTTGATCAAAAAGACTTAATAGCAGAGAAGAGAGCTCATTCCCTTAAGAGATCTTGGATCCTTTCAGAAACAATCAAACTGTGCCACTACATCAGTTTCTTTACTCACCCAAGTACCAGGGATTCAACAGTCTTTTTTGTGCAATGCAGTTTTAACGTCACTAATGTGACAAAGAATCTTGCTATGTATTCATCACTAACATATTCCATGAACAGCTCCTTCAAATACAACAGTACTTACATGCTGAAGATGCATGTGCCAATAAAGGGTATACATTAAGAGATTAACTAATATTATTCCCTTTCCTTGCTACTCTAATTAGGGTCATAATGACTAAGAGGTTTCAATGCAGTTACTTACTCAAATGTGCCAGGCTTCTTTTTTTTATTAAAGAGTATGTCTGAAGAGTGTAAAAAAAAAAAAAAAAAAAAAAAAAAAGCGCATGGGCCCCCCACCCCCTTTCCCATTTTAATTTTGGGAT